TACAATAGGGATGTGAAATATTTTACTGATTTATGATAATGAAATATTTCATTAATGTCGTAAAAAAGTGATGTGAAAAACTTTTTTTATAGTAATGAAATGTCATAACAGGTGACATAGTAAGAAAATTCTCACTTTAGCTCACACGCTCTTCTCTAGAATCACAATTCTTTCACTCAATCATGATCATAGAACTGCCCAACAATTCAAAATATCAATTTACCATCTAAAATCATAATTAACATAATTAACCTATTAATTTACTTTTAATTAGCAATTAGTCTTCAGATTGAAGATTTAGGATGTTACAATTATCACCTCAGAATCACTAATCTAGTACTGCACCTCCGATTTCTCATATGACCAATGCAAAGGGAGAAAGGGAAGAGAAGGGAGAAGGACAATTGGGTTTGATGATTTGTTGGGGCGACAAAGTATTTTTCATGTTAAGATTAATTGACAAATAGATCCCTACAAACTAAATAATAATTATCACATTTCACAATACTTGATTTTCATTTGGGTATTTCGAAGATATTTTTCTATCATTTTCCTTTTTTGAAAGCATTATTTTAAAAAAAATGAAAATATTTTCAAAATTTAATTCTAAAATAAAAATCCAAAATATTATATTAATATTTAATGAAATTTTAAAAAAATACTGACTGACAATTTTTTTTCTTAGAAGCACATTTTCAAAAAAAGTAAAGTGCAACTTGTTTAACCACATTTCATTCCATGTCTGTTTTATTTCCCCTTTTCTTTTTGTCTATCGATTTCATTAAATGCCATAACTTTTTTTTTTTTTCTTTTTGGCCGTGGGGGCTATCGTTTGAATTCATTCCATACCTTTTGGTTTCAAATATATCAACAAATAAGCCGCGTGGTCCTCCCATACAATGACATCTCATCTATTTGGTTGCCATTTAGGAAAAGGCATTGCCTTGACAGCTGACACACCCACCCACATGTTGCCAATTAATTTTTATTAATCAAATTAGTTTGTATTTACGTTAAAATAATTCGAGCACTCAAAACAAGTCTAGAAAAATTCTGACCGAGTTCGAACTTGAATAAACTTAGTTCAAATAGTTAAAAATTTTATTATTAATAAATAAAATTAAAATTGACTAAAAATAAAATAAAATAATATTTAATGAAAGGCTAAACTATATGATTTTTTTTTTATATGTTTGGATATTTTAAATCTGATCTAAATAAGCTCAACCTAAAATAAATCTGAATCAAACAAGTCTGGCTCGCAAGAATTATTGGCTCTAGTTTAATTTTGCAAAAATGCAAACTATTATTTTTTTTCCCTACGCTACAATTTTGAAATATAACAGCATTTCAATTTTTATTTTTAAAAAAACACAAGGGAAAAAGAACATATAGATAGATGAAAAAAATAATCTTTTAATCCTTTAACTTTTAACACACTTATAATTAGTCCCTCAATTATAACTCGTTCAACTCAATCCCTTAATTTTGACTCATCTATAACTTAGTCTCTTGACTTTTGACTCACTTATAATCCAATCCCACAACTTTTGTTAATTCTCTTTTTTCATATTAGCTTAGATCCCACATCAAAAAGTAAAAGGAGGGTATTTTAAAGTAATATGTGATCTTTTATCTCTTATTTGATAAGGATAATTTAAAAAAATAAAAAATAAGGATTAAGTTTTAAGTAAGTCAAAAGTTAAGGGACTGAATCACAAACACAGTAAGTTATAGTTGAGGGATTGAGTCATAATAAATTATAATTAAAAAATTAAATTATAAGTAAATTAAAAGTTGAAGGATTAAAAGATTAATTTTTTTATAGATAAATATATTCCTTCAACTTATTATAGACAACTAGACGTGGACCTATATTATGATTTTATGAATATGTATGTATTATGACTTGTCAACACACACATATATCCTATTTTATCTTGATTGATGTTGTTTGGTAGAAGTTTAATGTTTTGTTTCTTTTAAAAAGAAAAAGAGTACATAGCTAAAATTGTTACAACAACAATAATTTAAAATAATAAGATTCATTGTCGCTTTTAAGCAGCGTACTCCCAAAAAAGAAAAAACGTGAAAGGACTTCGTACCAGCTACTTGGTCTATTTATATTTTAAATTTCTTTTAAACATGAAAGGAGAAAATATCACACATATATAAGACACAACAATAGAATGGATAGAAGCGTATATGATTCAATTTTTTTTTCACCAATCTGTTCTATTGTAGTCCCTTCTCACTTTCAATTTTTATTTTTAAATTAACTTAAATTGGCGGAACCACTTTTCTCTCACTATTAATACGTGTGAATGTACGTGGTGAAAATATTTTTAATTTTTAAAGACATATTTTTCGAAAACACTTTGATTGCCAGCTTGTTCTAATATTTGGAATTAAATTCATATATATCAAAATTTCAAGTTCAAGTTTTGTGGATGTCAAACTCAAAACTATGTGTTGGAAGAGCTTTTTTCTCCAATATTTAACAAATAATCTCAAAACATTTAAAGTGATGCATGCGAATCGGCTTTCAGATGCTTCCCAGCTCAATAATTATTCAATTAATCTGAATAGTCTGATTTCGTTGAGGGGAATTATTTAATTATTAGCAAGAAATAATTTTTTTCTGGACGGACTGATGAATGTCTGGGTTTTGCTTAAAATAAATCATTTCTGGATGCTCAACATGCGCAACATGCTCGCCACGTCATTGCCAGAGGCAGGACGTTACAGTCAGTGCCACTTCATTGTGGGCACGTAGACATTCAATAGGTTCACATTTGTGATAGATGCGCATCGAACGCCACATGTACACGACATCGGAGGAGACACGTGACGATAGGCCATGACATTTACTCCCACCACCTAAGAACACTCAAGTCTATGAAACAAAGTCAAGATGTGAACATTGTAACGTAGTGCTCACCTTAATTAAAATAATAATTCGGATGAATGGCATTAAATGAGCAGCTAGTTTTGGTGGCTTATACTGTAATCTCTCCTATCCTTGTTATAAAATATTTTTTAAAGGAGAAATATAATCTTGGAATATTAATTATTTTTTTAATATTACTCTTGTTTACAATCTTTAATTATGGAATTGAATAAATATATTTTTAATTTTTTATTTAAATATGAGTAAAATAAAAAAATTTCTTTTATTTTTAGATAAAATTATTGATTTGGCTATTCTTATTTAATTCCAGCAAAATGATTAGAAATATATTATAATAAGTATAGGAGGAAGCACTTGTTGCATTTGCATAGTAATTGCTGCGATTGACGGATCCCATGTCAAAGCCAATTGTCAATCAAACAAATTTAAAGCGAATCAATGCCCTTTTTGGTGGACCAACCTCACAGGCGGAGAGCCTCTGCCTGGGGCCAGTAATTCCGACCAATTGAGAGGGAATAGTGTGTCTTCCCTTTTAATTCGGCGTGTTCGGTCCAACGGGGTTTGTGGGGCCTAATGGTAAAACTGAAACAATACTGCATGGTTGTTGTTTTCGCACCGACTTGGGTGATTCGCTAGGTTTGTCTTGTGGCTCACAAGAGGACATGCCATTCAAATTTCATGCACATGTGGGGATGCAGTACGTGAATGGTTTAATACAAGATCTAAAGGATTGGATTTCTACAGTCTTATTAAATTTCATATGCCGGGCTTAAAATGAAAAAAATTAAAATAAAATAAAATCGGCTACTTTTGTGAGGGCCTTTCAATTACATGTCGAATACCTTAAGATATCATTTGGTTATTAGAATGGAATTGGATAAATTAAAAAAATTAAAAAAAATGAACTAAATCATCCTTCCCCATACGGTAAGCATGATAAAGCTCATTAATATATACTTCCTCCATCTCTATATATAAGGTGTTTATAACTGAATCTCACATACTAATAAAAATTTGTTATTTAATTAAATTCACATAAAACACAATTTTTTAATTGTACCCCTAATAATATCATAATGAATATCATGATGATAATAGAAAAAATATGCAATTAATGATCTATTTTATTTTTTAAGACAAGAGTAAAATTATCTAATTACTCAAAAATATAATTGTTACCTCTTATATTTAGAGGCAAAATAAGTTTCTAGAAAATACTTTATATATAGGGACAAAGGGAATATTACAAATTTGAGAATCATCACACCTTCTAAAAATATCATGAATCAGATTCTCAACTCCATAAATTAAATTATCCTCCCCTTATGAATGTGTTAACTTATTTCATTTGATTTTTTTTATTTTTATCTTTATTTTTTCATTCTAATAAATAAACAAACGGGACCTAAAGTCACAAGAATGTCTCCTGGATTTTGTAGTTCTGTCCTCATGTATGTATTAAGAACCTTCGTCATTTTGGTTACAAAAGGGTAATTCCCCTTAATGAGAAGGGAAAAAACCAACAAAACTGTTTTTTGTTAGAGCTCTTGGCATGGCTGATGGTTGCTAATTGATGCATCTTGTAGGGCTGTCAAACAGAAAATAATATTCCATCCATCTTAAATTATAGAATACTTTTGAAAAAAAATTTCCATCCTCAAATATAGCACTTTGGATAAATTAAAATTTTATTAAATATATCAATTTCAATATTACCCTTTCTTTCTTTATAATTAATTTTGATCCATTTTCTTTCTAATATATTAAATAATGAGTGTTTTTAAAAAAAATTATATTTATATTTTAAAAAAATAAAATTGTTAAATATATTTAATAAAATTATTGATATGTAAAATTTTATTTAAAATTATTTTATAATTTAAGACAGAAAAAAGGCGGAGCTTGTATTTTCCAGTTCAGCGGGCAAAAGCAATCTACCACACCACATCGAGTCATCGAGTATGCTCAGTTCCACATTTGAAATCGTCAAACCACAGTTTTGGTGAAAGTATATGACTACTTTTTCCATTAAAACTCTGATTTTGGTGGCTTCCAACATGAATAAAACACCACGATGAACAATCACAAATAAATGAATAATAATTCATTAACACTAGTTTTAATCCTTGTACTTTATGATCAGTGAACCACCAAACACCCAAAAGAACGAAAGAGAACAGAAGAGCGAACCAATGACAACGAACATGTCTATACAACGAGTTCGCCGTAATATTAGCCCGGTGGGCTTGTATCTGATGGCACCCATCTAATTCACCGATTGTCCCATCTTGCGTGATAACAGTAGTCATATTTCTCGTTTCTTCACCTCTAAATTAAGACCACTATTTACATAATCATCTTGCCTCTACGATACAATCATCTCGTGCAATTTCCCTGCTACAATACAAAATCTTGAGGTGCATGATTAGTTTTCTTTAGCTCATTCACTGAATACAAAAGAATCAGCATGAAGTTCAATTTTCGAGATGGCAGTCAGATAAGAAAACATGCAGTTCTTGTTCAACTCTGGAAGGATGTTCTTCCGCATGTCTGCAATCCTAGAGAAATCATCTCTGTCGAAGGTCAACAACATCAAACTTCATGTTAGCGTTCATATAGACATGAGAGCAATGCTCATAAATTGAACTTCCATCAGAAGGCTCCTCATGGGGATGGAATCCACGTTGCTGACAGTTGCGAATTACTGACACACCACCAGGATCAGACAGATGAAATATGCCGTGCGGACTGGATCACCACCAAATGCAGAGTTGCAATTAGCAACAGTAAAATGTAATAAAAATATAATCAGCAAATGCTTTCAGTTCCTCTGATTCCAAACAAGTTTCATTTTGGTTCCTCTAGTTTCTAAACAGGCACGTTGTTTTCCTAATTTCTAAACTAAACCCAATTCTGCTCTTTGTTACGTCTCCATCTAAACACCAAATCAAATAGAATACTTAACTGGACCCTAAATTTGAATGTGAACTTAATGGTTCTATGCAAATAGTGTCTAAATCAAATTGTGAGGTTTCACATTAAATTTAGATGGATGATGCAATAGAAGAGAAAAATCAGGTTATTCTAGAAATTAGCAGGAACAGGACAACATTGCTTGCTTTTGAAATAGAGAGACCTATTGAAACTAAAAACCCAACAGGATCAAGAGTATTTAAGCCTAATATTAACAAAAGATGGTGATGCATAATGTAGTAAAATTAGGCATTGTGATTTCAAATTGAAGGCCACCTGCTGCACACATAAAATCTTTAAATAATTCCATAAGTTCAACTGAGAAGTTACATCTCAATACAATTAGTAGGTATCAAATGTCATAATCTACAACGTCTGACGTTGAGTAACTTGAATAGGCTTAAAATCAAGTGAAGTTGCTCCTTTTTGGACCCATGTTGAGTTTGAAGCTTGCCCCTTCAAAGGGAATGTAATATTGGAAGTAGGAGCCTATATCTTTTGAGAACTATATTGCGCAGTCAGTCTCATTTGATTACCATGCATAATTAGAAAAGCATTAAATATCAAGGTACCATATAATTAATTTGTATGTTTACCAAGTTCTATTGTCCTTGTTTTCATTTTTCTTACTCCTTTCAAAACCAGTAATGTCTACTCCAAAATCGATGAACAGACCATTTGTTCTAATCAATTTTCTATTGATGCAAATGGGCATAAAAGGCCAATATAGATTTATCGGACAAGAGTGGGAGTAAATTTAACATCTATACTATTGATCAATTTTCAGCTACATATCACGAAAAATTTAACAACCAATCAGATTAGCCAACATAGGTCACAACCAATTTCAGTAAAGTGCAATGGCCGCTCTAAATTGAAAGGGAGCAAAAACACAAAAAGAGAATGCACCTTTTCGCATCTGTAGGGGCCATGACAATTGCAATTGCCTCTGGTAACATGATCTAAAACAAAGGCATAAAATATATTATTTCAGCAAAACAAAATCACAATAATATACAAAAAATTCTTTTACTAAAGAAATTCTACCTGAAGTTGCTGATCAAAGTCAAGGTCAGATATTACAAGCTGTAACACTATCATGCAACCATAATTGAGGATCAATCAGCTGATAGGTTCCTAAGCAAGCTAGGAAATCCTCCCCCAAAAAATTAGCTATTGGGGTGGAAGAACCAACATGCTTAAGTATGTTATTGAGCAGCCCATATTACTCAATGTGAGACTTAGGTATCCCATACTTCCTTTTCCATATCATTAGCTAATAGCAGAGTAATTAATTCATTGGGTTCATAAATTCACCAAGAAACCCCCCTTGAAACCTACCATCCAAATCACTCATAAAAAATTTAAAAATTAAAAAATCTACATGAGGGAGGAAGAAAAGGATAGGGTCCAGTAAAACTGAAGAATAAAGCAAGCAAAGAGTACAACATCAACATGAGAATAAGAATTAAAAAACAGTAAAGTAGAATTAAAGAACTTATTGCCACATTAGGGCTACAAAAGAACACTGCATTTGAACCTAAAAAGTGCAACAGAAGAAACAAAATTATAGTCCTGTTACCTGGTATGAGTAATGTGTATGGAGATCCACTGATGACATGAAACAAGTCTGTGATGGGTGTGTCTGTAATCCAAATGAAAAATTAACAAGACAAAAAAGATGACATTAAAAGCTTTAATGCCAAAAAAATGGATGAAAGAATTGCTCAAGGGAAGGGAAGAAAAAAGGATGAAAACATAAAATATGCTAAAACATTTGCCACAGAAACTTGCTCTTTCTCAGAAGTGCCCGTCAATTCAATTGCATAAAAACTACTAATACACTTACTTATCAACAAATCATCATGTTAAGGGATCATCTCAGGCAGCATTAATAGCATGATTCACACAAAGGAAGGCAGAAACGATCACCTATGATGTGGACATAATAGATCCAAAGATATTTCAATAGAAGCATAAAAATTCTTAAATTTGTTGGGGTTAAATATCACATCTCAAAGTTTTTTCTAACCCTTCATGAATTCTTTTCTTGTCAATTACCTTCCTTTTATTCTCACTACACTCACATCTGTTGCATTCTATGCACTTCAGTATAATTTCCACTTAAGCTCTAAGCAGGATCAGATACATGATATAATTCTTGTTGCCACCTCACAGATACAGATAACAAATTCTTTGATAGAATTAAACTGAAAAAAGAAAAAGAAACAAGAAAACTTCCGCTCATGAGGATAAAGGAGCACTTACGTGAATCCAGCCTAAAGGAAAAAGTGATAAACGGTCTTGAACTTCAAATATCTCTTCCTCATTCAATGTTTGACACTGAAAAATAAGAGCAATTAGCTGCATAGTTATAGAATGGGAAAATATTTAAAAGACACAAGTAGATTAAGATATTAATGAATGATAAAACTGCATTTCCTTAATCTTGTATTTCAAACTGCTAAGCATTGAATAATCAAATAATCCTATTTATAAACATGGCATTTGATAAGCAGTATCTTCTTTCCAATAATTGGCCATACCAACATTTAAGTTCACTAAAATAGAAAACACAACTGGTTATTTGAGCAAGATTCTCTCACATGATCTACAGTAGCAATGGAGTCTCAAGCAATGCTTCCAGTTAAGTAGTTGAGTTATCAATAATATCAATAGTAAAACATGCAAGACCTCTCCTACCCAAAAAAGATGCAAGACCTCACCACATCCGTGCATCTCATAGTCAATGTGGAGTTAAACATTATACTATTCACCACAATGGGTCTAACTGGAATTATAGCCTGTTTGGTCGGAAGGTAATGGAGAGGAGGGGAGATTCTCATGAATTGGATTTAAAAGAAGAAGAAGAAGAGGTGAGGTTAAAAGATTTAATTAATTTTCCTTACTCTTTTCATTTACATCTTCTCTTTATTAAAATTTTATAATCCCACTTGTCTATGTTTTCTAAAATCGAATTCATCAAAATCTCCTCTCCATTCCCCTCTAACCAAGCAGGGAGTTAGCCTCTAGACATGAGAGTTGCCCTTTGAAGGATTAAATAGTAAGGGATTAGATCACACTATGATCGAAGGAAAGTAATATAGATCACAAAACTTAGGCAAGAACTTAAAGACAATTATTTTCTTACCGAGTCAGAAGTTGATTCCTGCTTGGGGATTATAAGAGTAGTAATATGGAAAACCCTGTTTTTCTACAGTCCCACGGATTGCAAATACCAAAAACTATTATTAGCAATCAAGGCATCTCCTAGAAAATGACAACACCATAAAAATTTTGACTGCACTTACCAAGGACCCCGCAAGAACACCACAAGTCTCTAGGTTCTTCTGTGTATTTCCCAGAGCCAATCTCAAAAAATCATCCATCATTTTGACAGGCTGCGACAGAAAATTACATGAAGCTAAGGTGACTTTGACACAGTCTAAGAAACAAGTAAAACTAACTACAAAACAGAACAAGTATGATAATGACCAAGAAATGCAAAGAAGCATATATGTTTTCTAACAGAATGATGGCACTTACAATGTGTAGGTGCTGATATGCAGCAGGACCAAGTGGAGAATCTGGAGAAGATTTGGCTGGTCCAGGTCTTGGATCTGCAACTCTTGAAGGAGGAATCGGGGCATACTCTGGCTGAACCTGAGCAAGAACAGGAGGAGGTGAAGGTTGCCTAATGTTGAGCAACTGGAAGTGACTGTCCCCTGATTCATTCAGTAGAGGAGGACATGACTCATCAGCAGGACGTGACCAACTTCCATCATCCAAGGAAAGCACTGAATCCATTGTGGACATGCCTGTTCCTGGATCACCCTCTTTAACTGCCACAAGATCATATTTTCCAGCCTGATTCAGACTATCATCATTGAAAACAAAAGAAGTGTTATAATTTTACAATTAGCAATATTTTCGGTAGAAAGCAGTATAAAACACAGTGACGTGACAATTAACAAACAGACTAATTGTCTAATACAATTACTTTTTAAAGTAAGAACAATTTAGATAAAAGAAAGGGGGAAGGGGAACTTCCATAAAGGAAGTACACCAAAATAGCCAGCGTAAGAACCATTGAAGTAATGCCAAAGATTAGAAATGATTAAAAAGGCCTACTAATTTCATTCTGAAGAAAGAATGGATGTTCCTAACCTTGAATTCTCAGGAATAGTCAAATCATTACTGCTTGGATAGTGAACCTGCAAATACCCAATATAATATCTATATTTTATTAAAAGCCTACACTATCTTAATTTGCACAAAACTAGAATGCCACCCTGTAATAGTACCTTCATTCCTGCAGTTGGTCCAAGCCACTGGCCCCGAAGACCATTTGGTCCAAAAAATGAGTGTCTGGATAGTGTCTCCTCTTTTGGAAGAGGTAAACTAAGAGATCTGCATATTCCCACAACCAACTAATATATCCCATCACCAAGCATATGCCAACATGTACTTTTTGGAAAATAAAAATCAAAAGTAAAATGTGGAAAATAAAAATCAATAATCAAATCAAAACTCACAAGATACAAGCAGCTGAAAAACAAAGAGAGGGAGCAAACTGAAGATGTTCAGAGTGAAATGAACTTGAGTTGAAAGAGAATATATAAGCAACCAAGATATGAAAACAAGGCATTAATACTTATTATTGAGATTTATAGAAGAAGTATACAACAACTTTTCAAAAGCTATAACAGAAAAGACAATCAAAATCCAATACTAACTTCTAACTGTTCTTTTCTCTTTATTTATTTATTTATTCTTTCATTTTTCCTTTTAGAGGGATGGGGGAGAAAGTGGACACAAAGGAATGTAAACTGTGAAACATGTAAAATTAAACTTATTTAGGCGTAAAAACCACAAAAGAATTTAAAAATGAAAAGACAAGTCAGGACATTGAAAACCAGCCAACCAAGGTCAAATTTGATGAGCAAAGTAATGATGTCAGAAATGGCTAAAACCAAAGAGGTTCCATGTAGCTCTAACTTACATGCAGGCCTCATATATAAATAGTCCAAAAGAATAGAATAAAATTAGAACAAGAAACATACAGTTTCTGAAGCTGCTTGTCAATAGGAACAGCATTTGAAGATACGTAATGACCAGCATTATAATTATATTTCCATGAAGACTGCAGACCCAATCCAGCAGGCTGCAGCTGCAACAAAAGGAAAAGCGGGGTTAATGGGTATGAACCGCATGTGGGCAAATACAGCACAAATGTTTGAAGTCTTGAGCATTAAACAACTGCATCACAGGCATATCATGATAATTCAAAAGGAAATGAATAAAAACTATTATAAAATCTCTCAAGAACACAAATGGTATATTGATCAGACAAAATGGAAAGCAAGAGAATGAGTTCATTTGTGCAGCACACAGGAAAAACAGCCCAAAAAAATGCATCATCAATTGCTTACCTGTTTAGAATCCATGCTTGAGTAAGAATTATTACTGACAGCAGGCCATTCCAAAGATGAAGTCATTGAACCATGCAAAGCCTTGTCGGAATCACCAGCTTTAGGAAATTGGGCATTCCCATGTAACTCATTCAATTCATTAACCTTTTGTTTGAATTCTGGCTTCAAAGATTCAAGCTCGTTCAGTACAGCTGGCAATCTCTGAGATGAAGGAATGAAAGAAAAATTAGAAAATTACAGCATATTGGAATGTATTTAAAACCAAAAAAGATAAAAGATAAAAGATAAAAGACATCCATCCAACAAAATAGCAAATGTTGCAGTTTCTTACCTTCTTATATGCTGCTTTTTCTTTGGAAAATGAAGCTTGGTAATCTCGATGAAATGGTATAGTTTCAGAAACCAAACTTAAAAAGAAAAAAATCATGTACAGTTAGAGAAATATATAAAAGTTTAAACACAATTTAACAGCAAAACCGGTTCATAACTGAGGAAATCAAAGGATTTTTCATCATTTTACCTTGAAAATCTGAGAAGTATGATATACAAGTCGACTATATTGTTCTCTTCCCGGTAGATATTAGCCTAATTGCAGGATATAAAATAACTATTCCATCAATCACCAAGGAAAATAATGAAAATCCAAAAGCAAGCACCAAATGAATAGGTCGAAGTTAATCTAAATGTTACTTACAACGCTATAAATTATGACAGTAAAAAAAATTTCTCCCATGCAGTTACAAGCATCAGTTTGCACGTGTCATACTCAATATAAAGATATTTAAAAAAAAAATCAATGCAAGCACCAAATGTACACCGCCTAAACAAACCTTAGTCACATGGTAGACATATCTTGACATTCAGATTTGTTTGATAGAAATCATATTTCTACATACAGCAATTTAGCATGCTCGTAGATGAAAGGCTTTTCTATGTGAGAATACAAGTCATTCGCCAAAAGCAACAATTATCTAAAGGTGATTGATTCAGTCTTCGATCTACTCTCAGCTGTGAAGGAAACTATTGATTTTGTTACATCGAGATGATTGCCACAATAGGTTGTGTTGCTTAGTATATTATATTGATTAGCATATTTCGTTTATCAGTCCTTATCGATCCATCATTCTATTATTTTCAAAGTCCCTATTACTTTAAGTCCTATGTACGACTACAATAAGCTAATTATTCCATGTAGGTTCCCTACACTCATCTGGATGTTGTCCCATCCTACACTCATCTGTATTCAGCACTATCCGACCTTAGCTTATTGGAAATCCACTAATTTTTTCTTATACCAATGGCGATCAATGATAGGTCATAGGATATAAATTATAAACCAAAAAAAAAAAAAACACCAACATTCATATAGCTGCAAAACAACTGAAGGCATCTGCATGAGACGCAGGAATAAAAGGACCACATTGCTCTTTAACAATTGAATTTGTTATCCGCAATTACAAGAGACCGCTTGCATATGCACGAAAAAATCACGGGTTTCTCGTCACAGCTTCGAGAAACTTCGAGATGAAATCACTAACTAAAGACAATTTAAACCCTAATATCCCTACAAATCGACGATCAAAAAAAAAAAAACCACGAAAAAGAGAAGAGGAAATCAGAAAAACGCTGGAGAAGGAATTTCAAACGATACCTGTTTGAGGAGATTATCGGCAATTCGGTAGTAATAATGGAGGGGTATGCGATTGTCAACCTCGACTTTGCGAGCGACGGAGTTTACGTTGATCTTCATCTTACCCGGCAAGGAAAGCCAGCGCCCCAAAGCTCCAATTGATGATCCCGCGAGCCACGCGTCCGTGTCTCTCTGTGAACGAGTACGGTTCTGAGTTGAATGAAGGATCAAGCAGCGAAGCGTGTGAGTCAAGTTTAAGTGCTGAACTCGTTCGTCGTCGTTTCGAAGAACGAAGCCGCGTCATAGACTCATGTCTCACAATATGTCGAAAATTCACGACATCATGAGGTAACGGAAATTAAAAGTTGAAACTTGAAACCTGCCAGTCATTTTCGGCCGCTTTTTTTTATAAATAATTGTAAATTGTAAATATTCTTCTATTTATTATTATCATCGATATAAAATATTAAAACATTATGAATGGCATGAGGCATCTATTTTCTTATTCGGCCGAGAGGTATTTATTTTTAAAATCGCTTATATGTCGCTTATATATCGCACAATGCTTCAAGATTCTTACGACCAGATTAATGATTGGTAACATGACATTTAAATCTTAAAAGAAGAAATTAATGACAATTAAGTTTTGATAAAATATTTACAAAATAAATTATAAATATTAATTCCAACACTTACAAACAAAACAATCTAAAAATTATATTTAATATTTAAATATTTATTTGCAGTTAAAATTCACGTATTTATAATAATTTAGATTAATATTTTTAAATTATTTTTAAAAAAATTATTGAGAATTTAATTATTATTAATTCAATATTTTAAGACTTAACTGTTATTTTCTTATTAATAATCTCTGCCAGCCAATGCTCAATTCTGTGACGACATCCTTGATCAATGTGTTTACTGCTGTACAGCTTTTAATTCCAGAGCTTGTACCGCTTTGGATTTACCAATCCTATGGGATGTTTTTTTATCCAAAATGATTTCCATATTTCACGGAAATCAATTGGCTTCTTGACTTGCCTTGTTTTTAAAAACTTTTCATGGATCAATTTTGTATTGATTCTTGTTTCCTCTCTACGAGCTCCAAAACTCTTTTCTACGTGTTCCATAATAGGCCAATGGGGTCGTGTTATATTTATTGCTGGTTTTTTATTTTTTTGTCACCATTGGATTTCTATTTGAAGTTGATAGCTTCAAATAATCTAAATTCAAGCATTGTGAGATCTCAAAGGGAGTTCATTGTCCTATTATCTTAAGGATCGAACCCAAAAGTTGATGGTTACAAAAACTCAGACTTTTTGCCATATGAACCAACATGCCTTGATTATATTTAATGTTGGTTTCCTGTGGTAATCTGTTTCTGCCTTTATATATATATATATATATATATATATATATATTTTCTGTTGGCAAGTGTTATTTTCTTTGCCATGTCGTTAGTTTTGGGCTTTTAATTTGTTGTTCTAAAGGTCCTTTAAGTTGTACTCATTTTACCTTGTTATAAAATTTGCCTTCATTTCCAAAAAAAAAAAAAAAAAACTATCCTCGATCAAAAAGAAAAGTCCAATACGACATCCCAGACTTCAAAAGTAGATCATGTGAAAACGTTGGAAGGCAGCAGGTTATTTTTTATTTTTATTTTTTTAAAATATAATTTTTTTTATTTTATAAAAAATTAATTTTTTAAAAAAAAATAGTGCATCTGATTTCTATAATTTTATTTTATTTTTAATGTGACATTCATGGTCTATAAATTAATCAACGAATATTTATTACAATTCACAAATTTTTAATTCAATTTATGAAGCTAACATTTTTGTCAGTTTTTATTAAATTTCACTAGTGTAACTAATTATATATAGGGTCCTCTATTAAAGCTTTTTTTCATAAAAATATCACTTATTTTTTTAAAAAAAATCTATTTTATGAAATGTTATGATATCTAATCAGTAAAGGAAGGTGCATAAGCGTCTCTGAACATGAACAAGCTGGTCCTATTTTCAGATTTAATCAAGCTGCCTCAATTGTAAAGGAGTACAGGATGCAAATGGATGGGTTAAGGAAGTTAATTGACAAATTAATGTTAAAAATTCTGAAACACAAAGAGCTGGAAAAGCTCCACAGAACAATTTGGATCAAAACTATCCAAGATTGTGTGTTTCGGATGAGCTAGGTGAAGCAACGTTAAAGTTTGTTGTCTAGGACTAGGACTCTAGTGGATGATTCATGCTTGCTTGATGGAGCATACTTCAAATGTACATCTGAATCAGTGGCTATATCTGAAGCTGCGCTAAATATGTTGCGGGAATTCAAATTGATGAGGCAATTTTTCCATCTGAAAAGTCCAGTTGACTGTATAAATCAATAAGAACTGTTTGGCTTAATAATGGAAATGTGTCCTTTTCTCAAAAAAAAAAAAAAAAAAAACAAAAAAACAAAACAAAACAAAATCCACATATATATTAAGGAGAAATCCTGGCTCATTTATGTACACATCGAATTAATTCACTGTTTTACTACCCGGCCCAATTAAAAAAGAAGAGAAAATAAAGACCAAATTCTTGAAGCTAAGAATGCATACGGATGTTGCTGACTGGGATATTCTATCTGGTGTCATTGCTTGGAATCTATATAGCCAAAACATTTTGGTATGCCACAACGGCTCAAGACACCTTTCAATAATAATGTGGCTGCCTTTGGGGTTAAGTTAAATTTACATGATACATGAGAGCTATCGCCTTAAGGTTGAGTGAAGGCCATGGAGTGGCGCAAGGATGCCCGAAGTTTAAGTGGATGCGAAGGGATTTTCAAAGCAAGAATGGATTGGAGACTTTGCTTGTAACCCAGGTAGGTGCAATGATCAGGAAGTTGAATTATGGAGTGTCTACTATAAGATTAAAAGTGGCCAAGAGTTTGAACCTTACCAAACTTGTAGTGGAAAGCGATCTACCAAGGTCGTAAGCCAATAATGGAAGGGAAGTGACTGAGCAGAAAAGTTCTATACAATGGCAGTTGAAGTACGCTCTCAAATATATTAACGAGGACTGGATGATTAATGTGAATCACGTTTACAGAGAAAGCAATACTTGTGCTCACTAGCTTGTTAAATTCAACATCAATCAAGATCATAATAGAAGTGCAATGCTCTGTTAGAACCTCTTGGGGAACACTTGCAGTAGTTGTATTGAGATGTTAAGCGCTTTTTGTACCTTGGGTTGTTTATAATTAAATGAAAAAATTAATTATTTGATTCTTGAAATTTTAAATTAGTGATAAATCAATCCTTGAACTTTGACTCATTGTAACTCAGTTTTTATAGTTTTAACTCAGCTTTAACTCAATCCTCAACTTTGATTCTTGCAATTCAAGCTCTATATTTTTAACCATTTACATATTGGTCTTTATATTTTAAAAATAAAATTATAAATATTAAAATTATGTTAAAATTTAAGAATAATATTTTAAATTACTAAATCCTTTAATCTTTATAAAGATTATCAAGATTAAAATTATAAAATTTTAAAATGTTTTTAATTTTTATAATTTTATTTTTTAAAAATATAAGAATTAATATTTAAATGGTTAAAACTATAGAGACTAAATTGTAAAAGTTAAAATTAAGAATTTAGTTATAACGAAGTCAAAACTATAAAAATCAAGTTACAATAAATCAAAATTCAAGGATTAAATACAAATGGATCAAGACTATAAAGATTAAATGATTAACTTTTCCTAATTAAATATTATAGTTTGGGCTTTGCCTCTTTTCATTAAAAAAAAAAGAATCAAATTCCTTGCCCAAGTTTTTCCTTTGCTCCTCAGCTTTGCTCTTGTTTGTTTGGTGTAACACTGAATGTTTCTTGCGATTTAGCGCAGCCTGAAGCACAGGGTTCATTACGCAAAGGTGATTATCTTGACACTACTCCGCCCAAATATTAAAAGAAAATACCAATGAAGCCCAGCACCATGACCGATAGCACTAAAGGAAGCAAGTAATTCAACAAAGAAACTGACACGGTGGGTCTGTTAATTCCTCCACGGTAAGAAATACGAACTTGTTTCATAAGAAAAGTAAAATTAAACAAATCAAAACTTTAATTAGGTTTGATTTATTGGACTCAGGTGACAATATGTTGGTGGCTTGCCCTTCAACTGCCCGTCCTTCTCAATCTCAGTGCGGTACTCAATTACGCAGCGAATTCTCCAACCATGCCTTAACACTCTGTATGTGTCAACATATTTAATATGTCTTGAATCATATTAGATCGTCAACAGCCTTCAAAATTTAGACATTCTCAAATTTAAGCGTATTGATTTTGATTATATTATGTAAACAAAAAGGTCCTGGTAGGTAATATTGTTGGTGGCTTTGAATTGAATTGAATTGGAAATTAACACCTAATTAACTAACCAAACTGCTAACATGGGGAAAACCACAGTTGATTACGTATATATTGTGATCCAATTCAACACTCTTTTTCATCATGAATTGAGAGCATCCCACACAAGCTTCGATCCATGATGGCATTCAAAGGGAGAGTGAGACTCTGGATTCTAGCTTTAGCTCTTCTTAACGTCTCCCTATTCTCTAAAATCAACGGTGAATATCCAGAAAACGTTCTGTTTGATTAATTTGGATGTTGTTTTTTGATGATGTTGACCAGCATTCGTTTGACAGGAATTTACGCCGACGATGATGAAGGGGCCGGATTTGGGGGTGCTGGCGCCGGTTCCGGAGTTGGTGGGGCTGGGTTTGGGGGAGCTGGCGCCGGTTCCGGAGGTGGTGCGGCTGGGTTTGGGGGAGCCGCCGGAGCTGGAGTTGGTGGACGCAGTGGAGCTGGGTTTGGAGGTGGTGGGGCTGGGTTTGGCGGCGGCGGCGGCGGCGGCGGCGCTGGTGGTGGAGTAGGTGACCCTGGGAAAATAGCCTCCGAAGCCTTGCTGTGTTTCAATGATAAATACGTAAGTACGCAAAAGTTTTTAAGTAAATGAGTAGTGAAAAGAGATTACAGTATCTAAGGAGAAAAATAAAATTATGAAACAGATATATAGTAGGTGTGAAGAATCATGGAGATTGAACGAGAAAGGGTACCTGAACGTGCCACCGGAGAAGACAGAAGAGTTCTGTGAAGGGCCATGCGCGTCGGAGACAAGCTTGGTCCTGCACTGCATCCAAAAAATATTCAGTGACTTCTTGTTCGCCAACAAGGCGACCATAAACGACGTGGAGGCAACTGTCAAAGCAGGATGTGGGTATGGCCCTGAAAGAGGTAACTACTAACTACATTAATATAATCAATGTGGTCAAAGATTATATTATTAATCAACGATGATGATGTATGAGACAGCAGAGCATGTGTTGTGTAACTGTGTTTATGTTATGTGTGTGAAGGAGACTTCAATGTGGTCGAGCACATTCAGAATTATGAAGGAAGCAGCGGACGCAGGGCCTCCACTGTTCAAGTTATAATACTAATATGGGTGATTTGCTTCATCATCATGGTGCTCAACTGCTGATACACTTGTCAATTAGTTTGCCAGAGAGCTTGTTAATTAATTTGGTCATTTGGTGTGTGCTGGCTATTATAATGCATGATTCAATTTTTTTTTAACTTTAAATCTTGAGATATTCTAGTCTATTAATAGAAATTAAAGAGGGTATTTATATACTCATCGTCATGTACTTGACATAAAAATTAAAAGACAAGATGTAGATGTTTGGGTTTAAATATGGTCAGCAGCACAAACTTACTCGCTTAATGTCTCATGTGTCACAATAATATAATAAAGATCTTGTCATATGATACTCACAAAACATCAAATTTCAAATTTTTAAAGGGAATTAGAAAAAAAATGTATATCTTTATAATTTTTATGTGTTGATGAAATTCAATAATTCTACTTAGAAGCTTATTGAGTAAGTAAATTTAAGTTTCATGTTAGAAATATTAAATATCCTCTTTCAGCCATTTTGCAATCGCAGCCATAATCGCTCCCCATACACAAACATTAATATTACGAATAAATTATATATATTCTTTATAAATTAAAATCATAAAAAAATATTTTAGGTTCAATATGTATAATCGAAAAAAAAAGGGAAATAAAGAAAATTATGTTATTCACTTTTAGTTTAATTTTTCATTTGAAATAATGACCTTTGTTAACGTGAATTTAACATTTAAAAAAAGTTAACAGAAAATATTTTATTTAAACATAAATTCAATTTGAAATATATATTTTAAAAATTAAAAAAAGCAAAATATACGTTTTACCAACACTTGTTATATTATTTTGTTGGGCAAATCAATGTAGTCTGTTATGCTATCAAACGGACTGATTGGATCACAAGTAGTATTAATACGATGAACTGAAAGGCCTTCATATAAGATAGTCATGTTCTCAAGCACTTTCTAGATGTAGGACTCAACAAAGCATCAATCAAGTAGGAGGAGAATTCACTGCTTCTAGTTTCTACCGGTGAGAAATTGATCGTCCTATTTCTCAGTGGCAGAGTTTCTAGATTCGTCATAGTAAGCTGCTGCATGAAACTGAGATTTTCGCTCTGCGTATAAAAAGAGTACAAATTTCTACTGCAATAATCAAAATAAAATTCATTTTGAGATGACTGATGGCGGGATTCAAGAACCTATTCTTCACTCTCAAGGAATTCCCAAGAACTTTACAGCCTCTCTGTCGCCCAAGAGCCCACATTCTCACCGTCTTCCTTCTTCTTTCACTCTTTCTCCTCTCCAGATCATACTCCTATGATTACGATCGCCCCCCCTCCACAGCCACCGCCGTCACCGGCGCTGCTTCTCGCTTCCTTCTTTCTTCCGATGCCTTCTCTTCAGTTGATGCGGCAGCGCTCCCATCCAACAACCTCGCTTCTTGCGACATCTTTGACGGAGCTTGGGTTCTTGACCACCGTGCACGACCTCCTTATCCACCTGGCTCCTGCCCCTTTCTCGACGACGCCTTCAACTGCTTCAAGAATCGACGCCCAGATTCGGATTATCTCGAGTACCAGTGGAAGCCTCATGGATGCGGCATTCCAAGGTTCATAAATATAATAATCATCAATTAGCTAACTGAATCTCTCGCTGCTTATGATACTGTACTTCGCTTAGTTTCATTTTCTTGCATTGTATAGATTTGACGGGCTGAGAATGTTGAGGTTGTTGAGAGGGAAAAGGATGGTGTTTGTCGGGGACTCCTTGAACAGGAACATGTGGCAGTCTCTCGTGTGTTCCTTGAGGCAATCTCTCAAGGATAAGACCAGAGTTTCTCTGGTTTCAGCCCGGCGAGAGCTGAGAACTCAAGGTCTACACTCTTTCAGATTTAAAGTGAGTTTACCATAGCAGCAAACTATTCCTATTAATTGTAGCTAGCATGCATACATCTCTCTGACATACCTGATAATACAATGGTAGGACTATGGATGCTCTATAGACTTTATAAAATCACCGTTTCTTGTCCAAGAATGGAAGAATTCTTCTACCGATTTTAAGGAGGGGCCTCCTCGTGGAGAAACTCTGAGGCTCGATATGATGCAAACATCCAAGTCTCAGTACCATGATGCTGATATCATCATATTCAACACGGGCCACTGGTGGAATCACCATAAGACTAGAAATGGGTGAGAATCAGCTAATCCAATTTAATTTAACTCTGATTATGATGATTCAGCTTTCCACAGCATATATAGTTGGATCACGAGTTTAACTGAAAAAGCTGAATCACTAATCCATTACCAAGTTCCTTATAGTATTTTCATTCATTCTATCTGCGCTCTTTCCTCTATTCATCACACCAAATATCAAACTAGTAATTATGTCCTTAGAATTCTGGTAGATGACTACTGTACAGATCACAAAGCAAGTTTTGCTTTCTCTACATGGAAGAAAGCTCGCGAAGGACAATCGACTTGACAAGAGCATATCAACCACTAATGCATGATGAGAGCATAACTTTCAATATTTTATCATATCTCCGGTCATACAAATTTATGTTAATCCCTTTTGGATTAAATTTAAGTAATGTTAGTGGTACAGTATTATGTTGAACCACCTTGGATTAAAGTAATGTTATATCAGGGGCATAAAAGGTTTCGACTAAACTACTTGTTTTATTACATGTGTGAGTTATGAATTAGGTTAAAAGTACAAATTCTCCGTTGTTATACCCTAGCTGTCTCTTCTTGTCTAAAAGACACTAATTCTTAATTCTGCAGGTAGGATTTAAAACATGAAAATATATCGTCTTCTAAAAAGCAATTAGGAGACTATACCAAAAACATTCTCTATGGGGTTTATGTTCCAGAAAAAATCGACTTTCCCCTTGTGTGCGACCAAGTCTTAGCCACGTCGCAAGGTATAATGGTAAAAGCCCAAAAAGTAACTTTCTAATAATTTCTTGTACATGGTTAATTCTTGATCATATTTGAAAACTGCTAATAGTAATCTGATCGCAATATGTCAAATAAAATGCTTTAATCATATAGGTTTATCAATGCTTCATAAACCTAGACTAATAATATTATGATTGCTTTCGCAGAAGAAACTACTTTCAAGAAGGAAGCCACGTCTACGACAGACTAGACGTGAAGGAAGCACTGAACAAAGCCCTCAAGACTTGGGCTAAATGGATCGACTCCAAAGTTGACAGCTCGCGCACAAGGGTGTTTTTCACTGGATTTTCATCTTCTCACTACAGGTAAATGGACGAGTCCATGAAGAACCTTGTCAATTTCAACAAAATTGAGATGTAGTACTTATGATTAAGTTGCAGAGGGGGGCAATGGAAGTCAGGAGGGAAATGCGATGGGGAGAGAGAGCCAATAAGGAATGAGAGCTATGTTGGTGAGTATCCATGGACAATGAGAATTCTGGAGAGTGTGATGACAGAGATGAAGACGCCTGTGTTTTACCTCAACATTTCCAGGATGACAGAGTACAGAAAAGATGGCCATCCTTCCTTGTACAGAGGCGTGAGTCCTCCTCCTTCGCCACTTACTGCTCCCAGGACGATGGTACAAGATTGCAGCCATTGGTGCCTTCCTGGCATTCCGGATTCCTGGAATCACCTCCTCTATTCAACCCTTCTTCCTCATCATCATCTTCCGGCTTCTTCCAACGATTAGATACTTAACGCTTTCACCATGCCTTGTTCTCTTTTTGGAAGCATTTCCCGTTGCAGTTTCTGTGTATAAATTAGATATACAAAGCTTCCAAATATATGCCCCAATATGAATTTCCCAATATGTCATGTCGTTGCAACCTGTAAACTAACATGATTAAAGCTAACGACTGAAAAATATATAACTAAAATATTCTACGTACATTGTGGACCGGCGGACCGGCGGACCAAGCAACACAACTAATAACACGTAAGGACGGTCATTTGTCTTCTACTTCGACCTCACATGATTATTGACATGAAAACTCTCGAGGATGAGAGGAACTCTGAACTAACCTGCCGGCGAATTGCTGAAAATAAGTAAGATAAGACGTAACGTTAAAAGAAAAGGTTGTTTGTTAAGTTAGCGAGTTTTTAAAACAGAGAATATCAACACCACTACAAAAGGCCATCATCATATCCTCTCCCCCTTCTGTGTCAGAGTGGGTCATCCAGTTTTGCAAAATTCTCGGCATGGAGCTATCAGCTCACAACAACTTCGCAACACTCATCGTGGGCGTTACCGGATTGACTGGTGTCAGCCTAGCCGAAACCTTGAGCCGCCCTGATTGTCTCGGCGGCCCCTGGAAAGTCTACGGCCCGGCGCGGCGTCCCCTTCCAACCTGGTTCCCGCCCTCCGTCCTCCACCATTTCATCACCTTTGACGCCCTCGACATCGAAGACACACGCCTCAAGCTCTCCCCCGTGGCCAACGAGATCACTCATGTTTTCTGGATCCCCCGTCAGCTCCGCGCCGATGAAGAAACCAACGAAACCTTGAACAGAACCATGTTAGGCAACGTGCTCAACGTTCTCAGGTCCTCTCCTTCGTCGCGCCTCAACCACGTGACCGTCCAAACCGGCACCAAGCATTACATGGGTCCCATCTACGACCCAGTCCATTCTCACCACCTCGACTCTCACAACCCGCCGTTCAACGAGTACATGCCCCGCCTCCCCTACCCGAACTTCTTCTACGCGCTGGAAGACCTCGTCGCCTCCTACGGGCCGTCTCTCACCTACTCCGTTCACCGTGCCTCCATCATCATAGGCGCGTCAACAAGGAGCGCACACAACGCTCTAGTTTTGCTGGCGGCTTACGCGGCAGTCTGCTGCCACGAAGGGCTGCCGTTTCGGTACCCGGGGAACAGGTACACGTGGGAGCATTTCTGCGACATGACGGACGCGGCGGTTCTGGCGGAGCAACGTAACATCCAATTTAAATTTTAATAATTAATTTAAGTTAATAAAAATAAAAAAAATAATATTTAGAGGTAAGAAAATTAATAAGAGATGATTATTAAATCTAATTTAGGATATAATTCTAAAAAAAATTTAAAAAAAATAATTAAAAAAAAAAAAAAATATTATTAAATTATTATTATAATAAAAAAAAGGAAAAGGTTTGCAAAAAAAAGGAAGAAAACGTGAATGCTTTCGGCCGCCGCCTCAATAGTAACAATAGTAAAATAAAATAATAAAAAAAAAGAAGAAGAAGAAAGAAGAGAGAGAAAAGAATAAAAAAAATGTGTGGGACCCACTGAATTTTATAAAAACTCACCCGTTTCCTTTCGTTTCTTCATTCTTCGTGTGCGTGAGCTGAGACTGAAAGAGCGTCTAGTTTCACCGGTGTGGGAGATCTGAGTTTTTAAGGTAAGAGTTTTTAATAGGATATTTAGGATGTGATTTTAAGCTTTTTAAGACTAAGTAAGTGTTCTAAAATTTTTTTTCTTAGTCATCCTTCTTCTTTGGTTTCTGATTTTATAGTGGTAGAAAATTTAAGATCTGAAAGAGGGATGAATTTATGTTGAATAAATATGGTTTTTGAGGTTGTTAGTAGTATAATAAATATTCTAGAGTATAAATTTATTGGTGATCTTTGAATTTGTAGCTTATGGATCAAATTCTAGACTAGATCTGAAAATATATGTTGATTTATTGAGGTTTAGATGATTATTTGGGATGAGAAATGAATTACTATGGCTATAGGATTATAATTCTAAGTTAGAGACTTAATTTTTAATTTTTGGATATTTTAGGTACGAATTTATGAAATAAAAGAAAATTTTGATAATAAAAATTAGTTTAGAAGTTGATTTTTAGATTATTAATGTTTATTGATAATTAAAAGAGGAGTTAAAAATTTTACTTAATAGTATTGACTCTAGATTTGTATTAAGATTGAGATTAGGAATTATGTTATATTTTTAATTCTATTATTAGAATTATTTTATTAATTTCAAAAATTGAAACTAATATTTATAAATAATATGTTATTTATAGATTGTATTACTGGTGAAGATTGTGGTGAGAGAGAAATTTTAAGGAATAATTTATTGAAAAAGCCACAAGGTAACCATGCTTTTAATTTGTGATTAGTGTTACTTCTTGTTAATTGGGTGATTATTGAGAAAATTATGAATTTTGTAATATTGTATAATTGTGCAATATTATTATGAATTTGTTTAATTATTGTGGGAGGTGTTTGGAGACTTGCTATTATTATTGTATTTATGTGCCACGTGGTACGCCCCTATTGGAGCTCAATAGGTGGCTTGTAAGGGTTCGGGCTAATCTACCTTTGGCAGGGTAATTTAGCACCGAGTGAGGGCTACGGCTCAAGGTTAATGGAGGGATATAAAGATGGTTGTTTGTGTGTATTGTAATATTTCTTATATTTGTTGGAATTATATTATTTTTAATTTTCACTTAATAAGTACACACTTAACTGTTTGTATACACTATCATAAATTGGCTTTGGTTACTGGGACTTTTGAGTCTCATTATGTGGTTAACAATTTTCAGGAAAAGAGCCACGAGTGACACGTGGAAGAGTCCTAGAGGCTTAGTGGTATAGATCCACTGTCTCTTTTGGGTATTTAATTTATGATTTATAATGTGTTATATTGCCAATATTAGGGCTTTTTGTTTATTGTCAATTATATGAATATATAAATGTAATCATGCCTTTCAAACTATTTCTATTTTTGGTACAATTTGGATGACTGTAATTTTAATATTTGGTTTACTTTGGATTGGTTAAAATGGCATGATTATAAGGCCAAATAACTGGCTTGTATTGAAAATTGACTAAATTGCTTATTTTACTTGTTGGGAGTATAAGGATGGACAAATGTGATTTAGTTTACTTGTTGGGAGTATAAGGATGGACAAATGTGATTTAGCCTAATGGCATGTGGGAGGTAAAAATTTATCTGAAATGTTATAGTGTGTGAGTTGAAGCCAATTATAAAATATTTTATATCGAAATTATTGATATAAAAATGTGTTGGGTGGCTGTAACCCAACTATGGTTGAGTTAAATTATTTAAAAAAAAAATTTTGGTGTGTTACAAGCAACACGTGTAGGCGGCGGTGACGGCGAATGCAAAAAACGAAGCGTTTAACTGCACCAACGGGGATTTCTTTACGTGGAAGAGGATGTGAAAGGTGCTGAGCGAAGAGTTTAAAGGTGGAGTTTGTGGAATATAAGGAAGAAGAGTTTGATATAGTAGAGATGATGAGCAAGAAAGGTGAGGTTTGGGAAGAGATAGTGGAGAAGCATGGGCTTTGCGAGACCAAATTGGAAGAGATAGCCAGCTATCTTCCTTTCAGAGTTGTGTCAAATTTCAAGTTCCGGCACCTGTCCAGCATGAATAAGAGTGGAGAGTATGGGTTCTTCGGATTGCTGATAGTTTCATCATCCCTTGAATTAAAACTCCACGTTGATTATATCATATTATATTGAGTCCGGTTTCGCTGCTGAGCACCGAATTGCTCGTCGTAAAAAAGGATCTGGACCATCCAGATTTTAATTTGGATGGTACAGATTTTTTCAATTTTAATTTTAATTTTATAAAAATAAAATTTATAAATTTTTTTGATAAATATATTTATCATCAATCTGGATATATTCATCATCAATCTAGACAGTAATGACTAAATTTAGATGGTTCAATTTAATGTTATAATTTTCATAAATTAACTATCTGGATGTATTCTAAATAGTTCAGATTTAACATTAAATTTTTATATACAAGGCCTAGACTTAAAGTTTTTGTTTTTATTTTATTTATTAAAATAAAAATTTATTAAAAAATTTAATATTAAATCTGTCTTGTCCAGAGTACATCTAGATAATCAGTTTATAAAAATTATAATATTAAATTGAACCATTTAAAGTCTCAAATTGAATTAGTACTGTTCAAATTGATTATGAATATATTTATCAAAAAATTATTAATTTTATTTTTATAAAATTAAAATTAAAAAAATCTGAATATTTTTATAAAATTAAAATTAAAATAAAAATTGAAAAATCTGGACCATCCAAGTTAAAATCTGGATGACCCAGATTCTTTTTTATGATGAGCACCGCGGTGCTCAACAAGCTGCTTAGCATCATAACCAGACTCATGTTATTTTATTCCTCCGCAGATTTATCCATACTTTGTGTATCTGCAAATGAGCTTGCATGTTTCGGCGTTTCTAAGAGCATCCATACTTTGTGTATCTCATATGCATCGTAAAAGCACAATCTTTCGGTTTAATTCCAGGTAACATCTAGAGATACACAAAAGCACCTGAGATTTTTCGCATTGTCGAAATGCAGCAGAACATGAGGGCCAGGAGAAGTAGAAGACAAATGACCGTGCTGTCGTGCATGTTTTTTTTTTTTTTTTGGGGACGTTTATGAACTATGAATACAAAAGGCAATCAAATTATTGACGGCAAATGAATTTGGTTTTTCGGTAGACCTCTTCTTCGCCTCCATGAAGTAATCGGATTCCTCTGCTCCCAACCGAGAAGGGCGTATAAAGAATTAGGCACAATTTGGGTTTGTTAAGAGAATGCTATAGCTAGAATTTATCGTTATCCAAAGACATTAAATATTATAAATGGGTGGACCATTTTAGATGGGCGTGTGAGGTAGTTAGTCGGGAGTGTTGTTAGCTGAACCTATAGAAAAGTTAGATAGATTGGGGAAAAATATTATAAAGAGTTAAATTTTAAGAGTTATATTAGTTCTTTTTTTTTTTTTTTGTTGCAAACTGTAAAGTAGGCATATCTAGCTTTGTCGATGTTGCAAGTTGCAACCTCAGTAAATAAAAACTATTTAACATTAATCCTTGATCCGGCCTAGTTATACTTATGGGCAGCATATCTATTGAATCAAGAAAAATATTAAATTTCATTAATTCTATTTTAAAAATTCAACAA